GTGTTTTTCTGGACAACCCTGACTGATGCACACTGTTTACGCTCTCACTGGGTCCCTGGCCTCCACTTCCCAAATCCCAGTCCCCTGTGGGTCTGTTTCTGGTGCCCTCTTTCCCTGAACACCAAACTTACAAGCCTGGAGGGCACACAGGACAGTGAACGTTCACCTGATAACCTCCAGGAACCTAGAATTCAAATTCCAGGCTTCCCTCGGGGTTCCTTCAGCCCAAGTCAGCTCTATCACAGCACAAGCCTTCCATTGGTGCAATCTCAAATGCTCACAGAGGCCACCAGGTGCAGGGGTGGCAGAGCCCCTGTCACGGTGGGCAGGGCAGGGTGCAGACACAGCTACTGCTCAGCCCCACCCAGTGTTTGCCCTGTGGGGACACGGGTCCAGTGTTACAAGAGCTTTCCAATTTTCAAGAAAAGCCAGAAGTCTGTTTTTGTGAAATCTCTCAATTTTTAAATATTTTAAAATGTTTTTAACAACCCAGCAGGCCCAACAAAACCCATCTGCAGGCCAGATTCGGCCCTCAGGCTGTCAGTGAGCAAGTTCCAAGTCCCACTGTGCTGCAAATACTTCATTCTGTCTCCAGTCCCTTCTGTCTTTCTCTCAGCCTCTGTGAGTTGAGAGAGCAAAGACTGTGGCCCAGGGTTCTTCGGCTCGACTGAACCCCACTTGGGGTGGAAGAAATGAACGGGAGAAATGGCATCAGAGAGAGGGAACGTGGCTCCCTGCTCTCATTCTCCCCTTCTTGCGAAACCCTTTCATATTCTCCCACCTCATCCCAGGCTTTCATCCTGTCACTCAAAGGCTGCCAGCTGCACCCGGTTGCATCTAGTTCAGAGCTGGCCTACCTTCAAGGTCCTCCAGTCCCTAGCCCCTCTGTTCTGAGGAAGTCAGCGGGCTGCCTCCAGGTCCCCTCGTAAAAACTCTGTCAAGTCACTTGCCTTTTACTGGCCTGCGCTGTTCACGGGTATTTTACGAGCAGCCGTTGAGAGTCAGCTCTAGTGTCAGGCTGAGTTCCAATCCCAGCTTCCTCACTCAGTAACTTTTGGGTTGTCGGAAAAGTCATGATGTATTTTGTCTATGTTTTTCAAAGGTCATTTATTTATATAAAGAACAAAGATAAACCAATGATATATTGCCCATTTTGTTCGATAACCTTTTGCCATCTTTCAGTGAGCTTCATAATTCCTCGTTCATAGAAGGAACTGTCTTTATTTGCGAAAAGCTGAACAAGGTGCTGATTTACAGCCTCATCTGAATTGAACGTTATACCACGCAAAGAGTTTCGAAGAGAGTGAAACAAGTAGAAGTCTGATGGTGCAAGGTCAGGCGAGTATGGTGGGTGTGGCAACACATCCCATTCAAGCACCAATCATTTTTGATGGGTGATCAAACTTGTGTGTGGTCTTGCGCTGTCATGATGAAACACAACTCCTTTATGATTAACGAGCTCTGGACGTTTCTGGATGATGGATTCGTTCAAACTGTCCAATTGCTGTCAGTACACAGTCGAATTGATTGGTTCCTTGGCAGGAGAAAAACACAATACCTTTAAAATGCCACCAAACTGAGAGCATAACCTTCCTTTAATAAATGTCTGCTGTCGATGTAAGTTTGCGCACCACATTATTATAAACAATCCACTTCTCATCACTAGTTATCAGTCGCTTCAAAAAAGGATTGTTTTCCTCAAGTTTAATGAGCATATTGCAGATGTTTATACGCGCCGTCAAATGAACTTCTCTGAGTTCATGCAGAACCCAAATATTGAGCTTGCTTACTCAATTATCCCAGCTTCTTCAGGTGGTCGTGAACGCTTGAATGATGGATGTTCAATGTTTTTGCAATCTCTCATGTCGTGTAACGTGGGTTTGACTCGATCAATGCCTTTATTTTGTCATCATCAGCCTCGGTGGGCCTACTTGACCGAGGAGCATCATTGAGATAAAAATTACCAGCATGGAATTTCGTGAACCATCATTGGCACTGACGTTCTTGTAGAGCATTGTCACCGTAAACTTTATTAAACTTTTCACAAGCTTGACGTGCGTTCTTCCCCTTTGGAAGTAAAACAGTAAAATATGGCAAAAATGCAGTTTGGTCTTCCGTCTTCAACTTGTTGTAAAATCTCCAAAACTCAACCAAATCGCTCAATTTTTTTTTATAATGAAGCTAGAACAGTCAGCTGTCAAATGGCATAGGAATAACATAGATGTGAATGACTCTAGTACTTCCAAAAGTGAATGAGTGCCATCTGTCGCAAACATGCGTCATGACTTTTCTGACGGCCCTATACCATCTCAGGCTCTTAACCTTTTGCAGTCTCAGTTTCTCCGTCAGTTAAATGGTGACAACAAGACTGAAATTGCTCTGTTCTTCTCTCGCACCAATGATTAGGACATGAGAATCAGGGCACATGATGTCACCTGGGAAGCACTCAAGTTGGCACCCACTAGCCTTGCAACTGTCCTGAGATGGGGCCTCCAGGGAGAATGCCTTCGGCATAGGGAGACCCAGAAGCAGCAAGCTTCCGGGAACTGGAACCTACATTGGGTAAACACAAAGGAATATATAATAGAAATGGGGGCTGTAAAGAGCACAGTGACCCTTAATGCCCTGGCAGTTGGTATCTAACTATGACAGTCACCCGTCAGGGTCCCTCAACATTATGTAGATGGAAGGGGGATGATTAAAGGGGACAGTCCAACTCCAAAATGAAGTCACAAAAAGAATGCCTCTCTATACATTTCTAAATAAAATGTGAGCCAATTCAATCCTAGGTGATGGGTGTTGAACTAGAGCAGGTAAGAGGGCCTGCTCACATCTGGTAGCAGTAAAATTGGTAGCAATAAAGTGACACAGCTTTAGACTTCCTTATCACCTCCCTCCTTCTTGGGTCCCTCTCTAGATGTACAGCTTCTGTATACTCACAACCTTGTTACACAGGCTCGTCACGGCCACATGGACTCTCTCTATATCTGAACCTTTCAGCTTCCTCTCGCACTGTTCACCATTTCATTCTCTACATATCTTTTTTTTAATTCACACACCATACAACTGACCCATTTAAAGTGTACAATTCAGTGGTTTTTAGTATAGGCAGAGTTGTGCAACTACCACCACAATCAATTTTAGATCATTTTCATCATGTCAAAAAGAAACTTCATACTCATTAGCATTTACCCCCCATTTCCCCCTAACCCTTCCTGCACCCCCAGCCCTTCAAAACCACTAATCTACTTCCTGTCGCTGTAGCTTTGCCTATTCTGGATATTTTGTATAAATGGAATCATACAGTACGTGGTCTTTTGTGACTGGCTTCTTGCACTTAGTGTAATGTTTTCAAGGCTTATCCATGTGGCAGGCGTCAGTGCTTTACTCCTTTTTTTTTCTTTTAAAGATTTTTATTGGGGAGTTGGGATGGGAACAGCGCTGGGGAATCGGGGGAAGGGGAACAGACAAGTTGCTGTCCTTTTGCTCTTTAGTCTAGTTGTGGACAACGTTACTTCACTGGCCCAAGTTGGCACCATCATTGCGCTCTTCCCGGGCGAGGCAGATCAGCGCCGGCCTCTGGATGGCCGCTCACTGCGGCTGCTGGCCGCTCACGCTGGCTGCTGGCCACACACGGTAGCCCATGGCAATCCACTGCCACAGGGACTGCAGC